ATTTTCAACATTTTATGTCAAAAAAATGAGTTTTTAGCCCAAGTTAAGTGTTGTTAAGCTATTTAGCCATTTTCTTAGTACACTTTGCATGTGATAGTCTATTTTGTGCTATGATAAAATGTATGTCTCGGTTTTTAGCATATCACCCTAGATCTATCAATAAAATCATACAAAACATGCATATAAGCATAGAAATCAACCACAACATACACATAATGATGGATCTTCACATTTTCTTGTATTCTCCCCCATAAAAACTCATAAAAATCGAAAATAAGGGGATATGAAACTCACCTTGGGTGTTGATTCGGTTTTTGGAAGAAAGAATGGAAGAAATGAAGTGATTTTTGGCCTTTGCACTCCTTGATGAAATTTTCGAGTTATGGGGTTTCTAGAGTGCAAGATCATAATTTTTGCATGGATTAGGAAGAGATTTTTGATAAATAAGGAATACAAGTCATAGATCCAAACAAAACCTTACCTTAGATGATGATTTTGTGGAAGAACTTCCTTGAATGCTACCTAAATTTCGAGTTTTTGGATGAAGAAGAAGAAGAAGCCTTGAGTGAATTTTAGAGAGAGTTTGTGAGTGTTTTGTGTGTGTGGGTGTTGCTCTCGGCCGAAACAAGGAGAGAGGGGAGAAAAAGAAGTGATCTTGATATGATGTTTGCTTGGAAACATGAGTTATGTGCATGGAAGTCCAACATATAAAAGTGAGGTGGCAACCCAAGGTCAACTCTCCCTTTTCCTTGGGCTTGGGCCGAGAATGGGGAGAGAAGAAAGGATTTTTGGGCTTTTTGCCCCTAGGCCCAACATTAGAGGTAGTTTGGGTGCTTATTGGCCTTATAAAATAAAATTGTGATTTTTATGCTTTATTAAGCTAGGTTAGGTTAAATTATGGATCAAAGCTTGTGATTTATTTCATTCTAGGTTCAACCTAGCCCAAAATATTGAAATAAAAGAATGTGGGTCCAATTAGAGCCCAATTAGGGTTCTAAGCCCATGATAGTCCAATTGGAAGCTTATTGGTCCATTTGGATCCAATAAGGAAGTCCTAGTCCAAAATGGACTTAACAAGAACTTCTAGGGTCTCCAATTGTTTGATGACTACTTGTAGTACTTGTATATTGTATTTGATTGAAGTTTTTGATTCACATTAGGTTGAATGTATGGATTACATGACACAAAATTTCCAGTTATGACATCATCCCCCCGTTAGAGGGAATTTCGTCCCGAAATTCTGTTTGAAAGCTAGATTTGAGAAAACTAGAATAGGTGAGGGTACTTTTGCTTCATTTGGTCTTCGCTTCCCAAGTGAATTCTGGCCCACGCTTTGCGTTCCACCGTACCTTCACAATCGGGATGCGACTCTGCTTAGTACGCTTCACCTCCCTGTCCATGATTTCGATGGGTTCTTCGACGAACAGGAGATTCTCATTGATTTCGATTTCGTCAAGAGGAATGACAAGGGTTTCATCTGATAGGCACTTCTTCAGATTAGAGACATGAAACACGGGGTGTACACCATTTAGCTCTGCGGGTAGTTGTAGTCTATATGCTACCGGACCAATTCGAGCGATGATTTCGAAAGGTCCAATGTATCGCGGATTCAGTTTTCCCCTTTTCCCGAAACGTATAACCCCTTCCAGGGCGAGACTTTTAACAGTACTCGATCACCGACCTGAAATTCTAAGGGTTTTCGTCGTTTGTCAGCGTAGCTCTTTTGTCGGTCACGCGATGCTTGCAGTCGAGCCCTGATTTGAACGATCTTTTCCGTGGTTTCGCGAATGATCTCAGGTCCCGTTAATGTTTGTCCGACGCATGCATTTTTGCTAGCTGGGTGTCACCTACTTCAGCCCAACATAACGGTGATCTACATTTACGCCCGTAAAGTGCTTCGAAAGGAGCCACCTTGATGCTCGAATGGTAACTATTGTTGTATGAGAACTCGATTAATGGTAGGTGAGTATCCCAAGACTTTCCGAAGTCTATCACGCATGCACGGAGCATATCTTCGAGTGTTTGGATAGTTCGCTCACTTTGACCATCCGTTTGAGGATGATAAGCGGTGCTCATATCAAGGGTTGTTCCCATCGCCTTATGAAGTGATTGCCAAAATCGGGACGTAAACCTACTGTCCCTATCCGAGATAATGGATTTTGGCACTCCATGGAGTCTCACGATTTCTCGTAGGTACAACCGTGTCAGTCTCTCCATCTTGTAAGATTCTTTGATTGGCAGGAAATGGGCAGATTTCGTCAGTCGATCGATGATTACCCATATGGTATCCAGTCCGTCCGACGTCTTGGGTAGCTTGGTGACGAAATCCATTGAAATCCCCTCCCATTTCCACTCGGGAATTTCCGGTTGCTGCAACAATCCTGAAGGTTTCTGGTATTCCACCTTTACTTTGGCGCATGTAAGGCACTTGCTAACGTAGGTCGCGATTTCCGCCTTCATGTTAGGCCACCAATAGTGTTGTTTAATATCCAAATACATCTTATCAGAACCGGGGTGAATGGAGTATCGCGTCTTGTGGGCTTCCTTCATGACAACATCTCTAAACCCTCCCAGTTTAGGGACCCAAATACGGTTCATGAAGTAGTATACCCCATTCTCCCTTGTTTCTAGGTTCTTTTCCATCCCGCGTAATGCTTCGCTAGCTCTATTTTCCATTCTCATGGCCTCCGACCGACGCGATTTGAGTGGCTAGATGAGATTGAATGGTGATTGAGAGAGTTTTCGTACGACGGCTAGAGTACTCCTTCCGGCTTAATGCATCAGCTACTACGTTGGCCTTGCCTGGGTGGTACTTAATCTCGCACTCATAGTCGTTTAGCAACTCAACCCATCTTCGTTGCCTCATGTTTAACTCCTTTTGGTTTAAGATGTGTTGGAGACTCTTGTGATCTGTGAAGATGGTGCACTTTGTACCGTAAAGGTAATGCCTCCAAATTTTTAGGGCAAAGACTACAGCTCCCAACTCTAGATCATGGGTTGTGTAGTTCACTTCATGCGTCTTTAGCTGGCGGGATGCATAGGCTATGACTCTCCCACGTTGCATGAGAACGCAACCTAAACCCTGATTTGATGCGTCGCAGTAGACTACAAAGTCTTCCGTTCCTTCAGGTAGGGATAGTACAGGTGCGCTACAGAGAGCTTGCTTCAAGGTTCGAAATGCGATTTCTTGTTTGTCTGTCCATTTGAATGGTACGCCCTTTTGCGTAAGCGAGGTAAGTGGCTTGGCGATCTTAGAGAAGTTTTGAATGAATCTCCTATAGTAGCCTGCTAATCCCAAGAATTGACGAATTTCCGTGGGCGTTGTCGGGATTGCCCAACCTTCTACCGCTTTGACCTTAGAGGGATCCACATGGATTCCATCTCGGCTGACTACATGGCCTAGGAAGTTCACGCTCCGCAACCAGAACTCACACTTGGAGAGTTTGGCGTATAGCTTTTCTGATCGTAGAGTTTCTAAGACTTGTCGGAGATGTTGGCCATGCTCTTCCTTGTTTCGAGAATAGACGGGATGTCATCGATAAAAACAATGACAAAGTTGTCGAGAAACGGTCGGCAGATTCGATTCATTAGGTCCATAAATGCGGCGGGGGCATTCGTTAGACCGAAGGGCATTACGACAAATTCATAATGTCCGTAACGAGTTCGGAAAGCGGTTTTTGGAATATCCTCTTCCCGGACTCTGAGTTGGTGATACCCGACCGTAAATCTATTTTAGAAAAATAACTAGCCCCTTGGAGCTGGTCAAATAGGTCATCGATTCGTGGGAGTGGGTAGCGGTTTTTGATTGTGAGTTTGTTTAACTCTCTGTAATCGATACACATTCTAAAAGATCCGTCTTTCTTTTTGACAAAGAGCACCGGAGCTCCCCATGGCGAATAACTAGGTCGAATAAATCCCTTATCCAAAAGTTCGCTGAGTTGGCTGGATAATTCCTGCATTTCGGCAGGAGCCAACCGATAGGGTGATTTAGCAAGAGGAGTTGCTCCTGGGATAAGGTCAATTCGAAATTCGACCTGTCTTTCTGGGGGCACTCCCGGAAGATCTTCAGGAAATACATCCGGAAATTCACATGCTACTGGAATGTCTCGAACGTTAATTCCTCCTTGGTCTTGTCCACCACATGAGCCAGGAACGCCAGATTGTTCCTTCGTAGATATTTTTGTGCCTTGACACACGAAACGAGGCGAAGGTTCATGCTAGATTTGTCTCCGTAGACCACTAGGGTTTCGTGATTTGGAAGACGAAGACGGACGGCCTTCTCGTGGCACATAATGTCGGCATGGTGGGGGCTTAACCAGTCCATACCGATGATCACGTCGAAACTCCTAATTGATACTGGCATTAGGTCTATTCGGAAGATGTGTTGATTAAGAGTTAGGGTACATCCGATGTAGATTTCCCCAGTGGATTCGGTTTTCCCATTGGCCATTTCCACCGTATAGGCTTCATTTAGCTTTTGGGGAGGTTGTTTTAGTAAGTGTTTAAACTTATTGCTTACGAAGCTTCGCTCCGCTCCGGAGTCAAATAAGATGCATGCATAAGCGTGGTTTAAGAGAAACGTACCGGTAACAACAGAGGGATCCTGAATAGCTTCCCCCTGACCCACGGTCATCATCCTTCCTGTTCCTCCATTTCTTGAATTGTTGTTGTTGGGACAGTCTCGGCGGACGTGTCCAGTCTTCCCGCATCCGTAGCAGGTGTAGCTAGGCCCTGCGCTGTTGCCGCTGACATGGGTGTTGTTGTTGTTGCGAGGGTTGTTGTTGTTGATTCCCTGATTTTGGTTATGGGGAGGGTAAGCTTTGCAGTACCT